GCGCCCCTGGCCCGGGTGGCAGCCCCTGGCCCGGGTGGCAGCCCCTGGCCCGGGTGGCGCCCCTGGCCCGGGTGGCCTTTGCGGCTCTGACAGGTTGGCAACCCACGAGCGGGGAAAAGCCTTTCTCCCTTTGGTCCGGGACCGGTTGCGGGGACGGAGGGACCGGGAGGGAGAAGCCCTGCTGGGAGCAGAGAGGCTGTGACGGAGGCTCGGCCTGTAAACCAGCTTTCAGAAACGTACCGACGGCCGCTCCCCACCCCCAAAGATGACGAGCGTCCCGGGGCGCGGGCCCCCGTGCGTGCGTTCTTCGGGACTCCGCGGGTGACTCTGCCCACGGTGCATGGCCTGGTAGGTTCAGGCTCGCAGGCGGGTGTCTGCAGGGCCGGCGTGACTTCCGGAGGCCGAAGGATCTGGATCCCCGGCCGGTCCCCGCCCCTCCTGGGAGCGGAGGGAGCTCTCAGGGCCGGCGTTCTTTCCAAGGGTCTGTCCTGTGCCGCCTTGGGACTGCCGCCCCCAGGCGCCCCCAGCCTCCTTCCAGAAGCCCCGGGCGCCGCGGGGACCCCGCGGGAGCGACGACCCTGGCGGGGCGTCCTCCCCCCACCCCGGGCCCCCCTCGGCCCACGTTGCACCGCTGCGCTTTCTCATCGCTCTCCGCCGCGCTCTCGCTTCCACCCGCCCCTCCCGGGTCCCACTTCCGCTGCGCAGAGTCGTGGGCAGGGAGCCCCGGGACGAGCCGGGAGCCCTGTGATCCCCGCGGTCCGCGAGTGGCCGTCCCAGGGGAGACGCCCCCGCGTCCCGTTACCCGGCAGGTGGCATCGGCGTGACCACCTCCTGCACCGTCACGGCGCGGGGACTGGCGTGCAGGGACCGCGGACATCGTGAAGGTGGTGGCCGTGCACTCAAGAATAAGACGACCCTGGGATGGCAGAGGCCAGCCCTCAGGCTTCCCCGTGTCCAGACTTCTTCCTACCTCAGTAGCCAGCCTCGAATCTGGAAAGCCGGAGAATAGGGCACATGTATTCTTCATAACGACCCGAAACGTCATAAGACCCGAAAAAAAAAAATTGGGGGTTTGAACTCAACAGGTGCCCTTGAGCTGAGCCTATCCCGTCCCATCTCGACCACTCTAAGGCAATCACAGCTGTGTTTATCCATGCTAAGTCTTCTTTGCCTGGAATTGTGGGACTCGGGGTTAGTGTTGTCATTGTTTGTGATGCGAGGTTCTTGCTGACCCGTTTGGCTACAGTCTCTCTACTCTGTCTCTGGGCGATTTCTTCCTGCCTTGGGTGGCTCCCAATTCAGCACACACGTGAGCCCCAGCTGTGTACCAGGTACCTTGATGGACAAAAAGAAGAAAAAGCATCAACTCACAGTCTGCATTTTTTTTGGGGGGGGGAGTCAGTGTCTTATTCTCTCACCCAGGCTGGAGTGTGTAGTGGCACAATCATGGCTCACCACAGCCTCAAACTCCTGGCTTCAGTCAATGAGAGCCCTGTGATGGGACTACAAGCACATGCCATCGTGCCCAGCTAATTTATTTATTTATTTTTTTGTGGAGATGGGGTCTCACTATGTTACCCAGGCTGGTCTCAAACTCCTGGGCTCAAGCCCTCCCACCTTGACCTTCCAAAGTGCTGGGATAGCAGGCAAGCTACCATCCCAATGCCTTTTAACCCATCACCAAAAAAGCACTATCTCAAAATGAATTAAATCTTTTTTAAGGTATAAGTCTGAAAATTTTCCTATTACTTCTCTTTAGTATCTGAGATTCCTGGGATCACTGTTGCTGACTTAATAATAAAGGAATACACTTGCTAACTTTTTTTCATATTTGTGTCAAAGGAGCTATGAAACAGGTTTGGACAATCATGTTTTTCCTCCCAACTTTATTGAGGTACAATTAACATGCAGTTAATAGCACATATTTAAAATACACACTTTTTGTCAGTTTTGACTTAAGCATTCATCCATGAAACCATCACTACAATGGAGACAGTAAGCCCCTCCACCACCCCAAAAGGTCCTTGTGCTGCGTTGTGATCTGTCATTGGACCCCCATCTTCAGGTAGCCATTGACAGTCTTCTGTTTCTATTGGTTAGATCTCTTTATTCCAGAATTTCATTTTATTTTTTTAACTCAGCCAAAAATTACTCATTACAGAATTTCATATAAGTGAAATCATACTGTAGGTATTCTTTACTTTGTTTGATTTCTTTCACTCAGCATTAGAATTCTGATGTTCATTCATGTTGCACCAGGAGTCTGTTCTGATTTCCTTCTTTTTATTTCCATTGGAAGGATGTGCCACTATTTGTGTATCCAGTCACACTGATGGATAGCGACATTGTTTCCAGTTTGGGACTATTAAAATAAGATTCTATTTTAAGATCTTGTGTTAAAGTAATGTTACAGCTAGCATCTTTATGGTTTAGAAGGATTCAAGTCTGCTTATAATCAATTATAGCACAGAACTCTAAGAAAAACTTAACTTAAGATATATGATTACTATTAACTGTATGGCTGGACAGGTTATGCAGCCTCAATGGTCTTCATTATCTTCATTTCCACAACAAGAGCTCTTCTAGATATATTATTATTATTATATATAGTAGAGATGAGGACTCACTATGTTGCCTAGGTTGGTCTCAAACTCCTGGTCTCAAGTGATCCTCCCACGTCATCCTCACAAAGTGCTAGGATTACAGGCATGAACCACCATGCCTAGCTAGATACTCTACATTTTATATAGCACTTCACAATTCTAATTTAAGGCTGTTTTGTTACAAACTCTAAAAATGGATATGAGTGAGAGGCCTTTTAGAAATATCACATAAACAAATTTGCTGATTCAGAGTGCATGTTATAAATAGTAGTCTTTACTTTGTAAATAAATTCATAGCTTTAAATCTGTGATTATATAGATATCTATATCCATGTATTGTTCTTTTAAAATTAAGGCATTTGAAATATTTTTTTACATGGTTTTACTTATACATAACATTACAGCAACTAACAAGCCAAATAGTTTTTTAAACCTTTAACTTGGATAGAGATTCCTTAGAACATCTATTTTGGAGGATTGCACTAAATAATGATCAAAACCCATGCATGTCCAAATCTCATGGTTATCTGATGAACTGCTGGAAATGAAATGTCACAAGTTTGTTTCTCCCTTTTTGTTTGTTTTGTCTACATCTGCTTGTCTTCAGCAGAGACCTATGGTTCCAATCTAGATGCTAGAAATGTCATAGTGAATTATATTTTGCTGTTCTGAATATAAAATAATAACAGCATCTAATACACAGATTAGGACAAGTTCTTAGTCCTCTTCAGAACCCTACATCAGTGGTCTCCAACAGTTTTTGCATTAGGAACCAGCTTCATGGAAGACAATTTTTCCACGGGTACTGGGGGGCAGGGGGATGGTTTCAGGATGATTCAAGTGCATAACAGTTATTGTACAATTTATTTCTATTATTATTACATTGTAACATATAATGAAATGATTACACAACTCACCATAATGCAGAATTGGTGGGAGCCCTGAGCTTGTTTTCCTGCAACTAGATGGTCCCATTTGGGGGTGATGCGAGATAGTGACAACTAAAGGGTGTTACTTATGTCTACTCTGCTCCATAATCTCATTTTGGTTGCTGTCATTGAAGAAAATTCTGCTTCACAAAGATAGGATGTTGGACATGGAAGCAGGCTTTTCAGTGCTGATCTGACAGGAGGTGGAGCTCAGGCAGTGATGCAAGCAATGGGGAGCTGCAAACAATGGGGAGCAACTGTAAATACAGATGAAGCTTTGCTCACTTGCTTTTCACTCCTGCTGTGTGGCCCAGTTCCTAGTGGGCCATGGATGATACCGATCCATGGCCTGGGGTTGGGGACCCCTGCCCTAACTCTGAATACTACTACCTTTGTTTCATAGATGGAAAAAGAATTTGGCAGGTTTTATTCCATTTCATTGTAGTTCTTAAAGGGCTGTAATATGATAGAAGAGACAGCAACTGTAGTGAGAATATCACTCACTCTTTGTATCACCTCTCTGCTAAAACTCTTTGTCATCCAGATAAGTGGTTCAGTCTCACCCTAACTAGGTAGATTGTGTTATATTTTTCTTTGGTTTGAGCATCCTGGATAAATTTTTTTCTTCCTTTCTTCTTCCCTACCTTCTTCCCTCCCTCCCTCCCTCCCTTCTTCCTTCCTTCTTTCCTTCCTTCTTTCCTTTCTTTAGTTGTGGTCTCACTCTGTCACCCAGGCTGGAGTGCAGTGGCACACTCACAGCTCACTACACCTCGATTTGCTGGACTCAGTTTATCCTTCTGCCTCAGCCTCCCAAGTGACTGGGACTACAGGTGCATGCCATCACGCCTGGCTAATTTTAAAATTTTCTTTGTTGAGGTGAGGTCTCACTGTGTTGCCCAGGCTGGTCTCAAACTCCTGAGTGCAAGCAATCCTCCCACCTCAGCCTCCCAAAGGGCTAGGATTACAGACTTGAGCCACTACTCCCAGCCCAGAATGTTTAAGAGGGAAACAAATTAGGTATTACTTTCATTAGTTTAGGTCTATTATTTTTTTAATCTCTGGAGAAGATAGATGTTGGCTCTTTGCACAACCTTTCTGAAAGTGCTATGTCTCTCTCCTCCTTCATAGTTTATTAAGTTAGATTTAACACATTTCTTTCCCAGAGCAATTAATCTTTTAAACGTAATTGCACAGTATTATTTGAGAGTCTGCTATGGACAGTGAGGAATGACAAAAGTCAAAATGCTTCTGTGTGAGCCATGTGGTTCACATTTCTGTGCTATTCTGGAGCTTCTGTAACTTTCTACTAATGTCATTAAATTAGGAACACCAAATTAGAAATCGTCACAGTTTTTCCTCTTGGGATATTTTGCTCGTCTATGTTCCAAAATCTATTTTCATTCTCGAGAAGCCCAATCTGATTCAGATAACTTTTCTCATTTTGGTCTCTACATTTCCCAAGGCTAACCTTAGCCTATTGAGTGGTGCGTGCGTGTGTGTGTGTGTACATGTGTGACATAAGAAATATATGTCTAGTCTCTACTCTAGATTCCTATCACAGAGCTTCTGAAACCCTTGTAATCTCCTGTGCAGTAGGGGTGCAAAGTGTATCTTTTACTGTAATATTTGGCCTTTGATCCTGGTTCCTGACAAGAGCTCCTGACATCTCTTGGAATGTCCTGGCTGATAGGAACCTCTTTTGTTCTGATAAAGTGTCTCCTGGTAGACTCTTGGATAGCTTCAGGATGGGAGCTGATGAGAAGATTGGGACTTTTCACTCCACCCCTCACCGTCCTCTAGGCTACCTATGTGACGAAGCCTCCAGAAATGTCCCTGAACTCTGGGTTTCAGAGAGCTTCCAGATTGCTGAATACTCAGGGGTCCTTGAAGGGAAGAGCACCCAGAGAGGGCATGGAAGTACCATGCCTTTTTCAGTGTAGCTGCCCCCATGTCTCTCTTTAATCTGGCTGGATGTCTGTGTTCTTTGTAACAGTCTTCACAAATAGTGGGTCAATGCAAGGAGTAGTTTCTCTGAGTTCTGTGAGCTGCCCTAGCAAATCGTGGAACCTGAGGAGAGGTTCCATGACTTATAGTCGGCCAGGCAGAAACACAGGTCACGGCTTGGGACTTGGGCTGGTGTCGGAAGTGGGGACAGTCTTGGGAGATGAAGGGCTTCACCTGTGAGATCTGACACTCACTTAGGTAGATGGTGTCAGAATTGAGTTAGATTGTAGGGTACCCTGTTGGGTCTGATTGCTTGGTGTGTGTTGAGGGGGGAACCCCTCTATACCTGAGGTCAGAAGTGAAGATTGATACTATGGAGTGAGAATTGAATAGGAGAAGACAACTGGTTTATTTTATCCTGCATTTCACAGGCATCTTTTCTCTCTCTCTCTTTTAAAAAATAAATTGTTTTCTGATAGGATGGATTAATTTAGATTGTTGGCCATTGGGCGAATATTTTGGAGGCTAATTGGTCTGTTCTGTGATGAGAGCCTAATGTTGGTGACTGTGATCCCACCCTCTGGTTCACATGCAGCAGGCTTTGTCCTGCTCACAGCCCCTGTAGTATACTGCATAAGCATCTCCTGGCCAGAGAGGAAATAACTTTGATTAGTTCTCAGTGAAGAATGGGAACCAGCCAAAGCATTTTCCTTAAGTGAAGCTGGTCACACAAGTGCAAAAACTCATGTTGAATTCCTCTCTGAAGATTTTTGAGCCAGGCATGGTGGCTCATGCCTGTAACCCCAAAACTTTGAGGGACTGAGGTGGGAGGATTGCTCAAGCCCCCGAGTTCGAGACCAGCCTGGGCAACATAGCAAGATCTTGTCACCACAAAAAAATTAGACGAGTGTGGTGGCATGTGCCTGTAGTACCAGTTACTCAGGAAGCTAAGGTGGGAGGATTGCTTGAGCCCAGCAGGTCGAGGCTGCGGTGGCCGGGAGCGGCCACCACACTCCAGTCTGGGCCACAGAGTGAGATTCCAACTCAAAAAAAAGAAAAAAAAGAAAACAAGAAGTGGGGCTGGGAGAAAGAAGCTTGCTGAACTTTGTTTTATATTCCACCTTCAACTCTGGAAGACTCACTAAGTTCAGCACATTCTTTCCTTCCCTCCCTCCTTCTTCCCCCTCCCCTCCCCCTCTCCCTTCCTTCCCCTTCTACTACTCTCCCTCCCCTTCCCCTTCCTATTTCCTTTCCTTTCTTCCCTCTCTCCCTCCTTCCCTCCCTCCTCCCTCTTCCTTCCTTCCTTCCTTTCTTTTTTCCTTCCTTCCTTTTTCTCTTTCATCAGGGTTTCACTCTGCCATCCAGGCTGGAGTTCAGTGGCACAATCATGGCTCATCACAGCCTCAACCTCCTGAGCTCAAGTGATCCTCCCTTCTCAACCTCCCAAGTTGCTAGGACTACAGGCATGCACCACCACGCCCAGCTAATTTTTTTTTTTCCTAGAGATGATGTCTTGCTCTGTTGTCCAGGCTGGTCCTGAACCCCTGGGCTCAAGCAATCCTCCTGCTTCAGCCTCCCAAAGTTCTGGAATTACATGCATGAGCCACTGTACCTGGCCTATTGTTTTATATTTAAAGAGAAGAGATAACCTGACTGGACAATGCACCTATGCTTTACTTTTTTTAATATTTTTAAGAGGAGAGTCTTATCCTTTTGCCCTGAGAATATTCAATTTCATTGTTCTCTTCCTAGCCAAACCAGAAATTTTTTGTCAAGATGTGTGGTTGGCCTATATTAATAACAACAACATTCTCTCCTGCAAGTATATTTCTGTCATTATGTCTTAAGAAGACTGAAAAACCTGACAGTTGTGGCCCAATTACAGCTTATTTCCACATTTGCAAAGGGCTAACCTTCAAGTTTATACTATTAGATGACTTTCAGTGTGGTAAATACTGATAAGAGTATTTTTATATAGTACTGGGCTTTAAAAATATGTTTCACCTAAGCATTTCCAAACCAAGCATTCTGTTATAAAAATGCCATCAATTCACAAGATCTAGTGCTGACAAATTCTAAATTCTACAAGCATTGACTGCATTTTGGATTCCAAGTATTACATTGGTTGGAATTTAAGCTTTAGATGGTGACTTGGATTAGATCCCCTTTAAGATTTGCTTCAGTATTAAGTCTATGCTTTGTGATTATCGTATTACTGACAAAAGGAAAATGTGGCCCATTTAATACACTTTAAGGTCAGTGAAAGTAAAAACAAGATGAAACTATTTTAGTTTTTCTTTTTGAGTCAAAGTCTCACTCTGTTTCCCAGACTGGAGTGTAGTGGCACAATCATGGCTTACTCCAGCCGTGACCTCCTGGGCTCAGGTGATCCTCCTACCTCAGCCTCCTGAGTAACTGGGACTATAGGTACGCCCCACCATGCTGGGCTAATTTTAACTTTTTTTTCTATAGAGACAAGGTCTAGCTATGTTGTCTAGTCTGGTCTCAAACTCCTGGGCTCAAGCAGTTCTCCTGACTCAGACTCCTAAGTGCTGGATTGCAGGTGTGAGCTGCTGTACCTGGTCTATTTTAGTTTCTATAAATCTATTACTCTGGACAATTACTTTGTGAAATGAATAGTGTATGATTGGATGCTTTACTTATCAGCAACCTAACCTTATTAGTCTTAGTTTTATATTAAAGTTTGTTTCTTTGATATTTAATTTTTTAAATTCTAGTGATAAATAACCTTACTTTTCATCTTTTTTTTTTTTAAGGTACCATCCAAGAAGCTGGAACATTATTATCCAGCAAGAATGTTCGTGTCAACTGTTTGGATGAGGTAAAATAAATTTAATAAATTGTTTTACTTCTTATGAGAATACATATTATGTAAAATGTGTTAAAAGTTATAAAAAAATTTTCTAATGTTTATGCTCAAATTATACTAAGAATCTCTAAACCAAGTGTAAACAGAGAGGTCACAAAAGACAAATAAGCATGTAAAAACATGTTTATTCTTATTAGCAATCGAGTAAGTGCAAATTAAACCAAAATCATATTGTTTCTTATCAAGTGTGAGACACATGCACTTTTATTTGCTAATGAATTAAGTGTATACTGGCATAACATTCTGTAGAAATTTTTGAATATGTATTAATTTTAAATGTGCATATTCTTTGATCCAGCAATTCCACTTCTAGAGAAGGTTAACTAAAATGGAACTCAACTTTCTAGAACAGTTGCTATCTAAAATAACTTTTTGAAACAATATTGACATCTAGCTGTTCAATATGGTGACCACCAGCCTTGTGTAGGCATTAAACACTTGGAATATGGGACAGCTGACTGAAGAACTGGATGTTTAGTACTCCCTCAGTTATTGGCAGCTGTACTGAGATGCAATTAGTGCACAATAAACTATACGTATTTGAAGTGTAAAATATCTGTGAAACCACCACCACGATCAGGATAATGAGGATGTCCATCACCTCAGAAGTTTCCTCATGCTCTTTTGCAATCCTCCTTCCCATTCTTCCTCGCCCCACCTTTGCAGAAAACCACGCATCAACTTTCAGTCACAGTATATTAGTTTACATTTCCAAGAATTTCATATAAATGCAGCCATATACTAGGTACTCTTTATTGTCTGTCATCTTTTGCACTGCATAGAAATTCATCCATGTCCATTCAACAGTTGGAGTTTGGGGTTATTTCCAGTTTGGAGACTATATTAGCAAAAGAAATCATCTATTTATATAAAAATGTTGGTATGGACATATGATTGTATGTCTTTGCATAAATTATCTCCTCATTATGGGTTGTATTTACTCATTCTTCTTTGAGTGTCTAGTTATTTTTCACCGGATGCCAGACATTGTGAATTTTTTTCATGAGCACAGTTAAGCTACTTGGAGGTGTTTTGAGTCTTTCAGTTCTAATTTTCAACATTTGCTAGGTGAGGCCAGCACAGTGCTCAGTTGAGGGTTTATCCCCAGTGCTGAAGCCACATACCTCCTTGTCCTCTCTGCAATGCCCTCTGATACTTGCAGTTTTCTGGCCTGGCTACTGGGGACAGGCACTCCTCCTGGCTTTGTGTGAGCTCTGGAAACTGTCCCCCTTATGCTCTTAACTGGTTCTTTCCCCTGCTTGAGTAGTCTCCTCACATGCATGTGTTGGTCAGTGCTTGGCGGAATACTCTGATCTTTAGAATTCTCTTTCTGTACTACTCTCTTTTCTCTATTATTCTTTCCTGGGAACTCAAGGACCTTGGTGTCCCTGGATGTTCAACTCAGTCTCCTCAATGCATGCAGTTTGCCAGGCTCACTGTGGGTTACTCCTTCCTATACTGCACTCTGGAAACACTTAAGGGGGTAAGCCAAGCAGTTTTAGGCCTCAATTCAGTTGCTTTCCATCTCTCAGGGGTTGTGTCCCTCATTGTGTGACAGACAATGACTTTCAAATTGGTATTTCATATATTAGTCTATTTTTTTGTTATTTTAGGAAGAGGGCAGCTGGTTTCTATTACTATATCTTACCTTGAAGTGCAAACTTTTAATTTTAATTAATTAAAAGGTAGACTTAAATAGCCATATGTGGCTAATGGGTACTATATTATAAAGTACAGTTCTATTGCTAGAAAGTTCACTGAACTTCAGTTACTCATACAGAAGAGCAAAACTAATATCGGGCAACCTAAAGTTTAAAGCAAAAGAAATTAATATGTAAACACTTTTTCTTTTTTTTTTTTTGAGTTGGAGTCTCACTCTGTCACCCAGACTGGAGTGCAGTGGCCGCTCCTGGCCACCGCAGCCTCGACCTGCTGGGCTCCGGCGATCCTTCCGCCTCAGCCTTCTAAGTAGCCGGAATTATAGGCATGTGCTACCACACCCGGCTGAATTTTTGATTTATTGTACAGATGAGGTCTCGCTGCCCAGGTGGGTCTCGAACCCGTGGGCTCAGGCAATCCACTCACCTCAGCCTCCCAAAGGCGCGGGATTACAGTCTGAGTCACTGAGCCCGACTGTAAACACTTTTTCACACCTGAAATTAATAATCCATTAAGAAGATACCAATCTTAAACCTTCATTTATAAGCGTATCAGTTTTATAAGCCTTGATGTTCATCAGGTTTATAAAGAAGAAAATGATGGTGTCCAAAGGAGAAATGTGTGAGACCATAATAGCACCTCTCGGAAACCAACAGAGTAAGTAGAAAAAAAAGTAATTCAGGAAATAGAAAATCTGAGTAACCTAATTAACAGTCAATGGAATATAAGTTAGATATAAAAAAGTAGCTATCTCCTTTTTTTACATAAAAACTTGTTAAAAATTAACACATGTATTATAGTATTTTATAAAGGACATTTCAAACAACCTCACCAAATGTAGTATAATACATTGAAAATAATTCATTATTGGATTATATTCCAAACAATGAAACACATATCTTACCTGAAATTTGTTTTTTTAACTGTAAGATAATCCTTAGGTTAGTGAAGAGATAGAAATAGCTTACTGTTTAGAAATGAAATACAATGTTTATCAAAAGCTGTGTTAGGTGACCAAAGCAGTACTAAGAATAAATTTTGTAATGTTTATTATTATACTCTCAATCTTTGTGGTGTTTTGAGCTTTCAACTCATGAAATTATAAAAAAGAATAAAGTATACTAAAAAAAGAAGAAATGATATACAAAAAAAAAAAACAGAAATAAAAGTTTTAAAAAGCAGTCAGGGCTGGGTGCAGTGGCTCACGCTTGCCATCCCAGCATTTTGAGAAGCTGAGGCAGGAAGATTGCTGGAGTCTAGGAGTCTTTTGAGACTAGCCCAGGCAACACAGTGAGACCTCGTCTCTACTAAATAAATAAACCGATACCAATCAAACACAAGAAACAAAATAAAAAATAGACGAATTTGAAATCAGCAAGATTAAAAAGCATTTGTGCTTCAAAACACAGCACCAAGGCAGTGAAAAGACAACTCATTGAATGGGAAAAAAATTGTACAACTCTTGTCTGACAAGAGACTTGTAACTAGAACACATTAAGAATTTCTACAACTCAAGAATAAAAAGACATATAACCCAATTAGAAGATGAGCAAAGGATCTGAATAGACAATGCTTGAAAGACAATATACAAATGAGCAATTCACACAGAAAAAATGCTCAACATCATTAGCTACCAGGGATATGCAGATCATAGGCACAATGAGATAACACTCTACTTCCATACGATGACTATAAGCAGACAGGGAAGCAAGACAAAGCGTTGGAGCCTTTATACGTAGCTGGTAGGAATGTAAAATGAATATAGCCACTTTGGAAAAATAGTCTGGCAGTTCCTCAAATAATTAAACAGAGTTACCACATGGCCCAGCAATCCTAGCTATATATACTCAAGAGAAATGAAAACATATCCACATAAATATTTTGCACATGCATGTTTATAACAGCATTATTCATAATAGCCAAATTTCATCAGCTGATGAATGGATCAATAAAATGTAGTATTTTCATACATTGGGGTCTTATCCAGTCATAAAGATTAAAGGAATATTAGTACCTGCTACAATATAAATGAATCTCAAAAACATGTCAATTGAAAGAAGCCAGTCACAAAACACTGCATAATATATGATCCCATTTATATGAGATGTCCAAAATAGACAAATACGAAGAGAAAATAAGTTAGGAATTACTTGCCCTGAGAAAGGAAGTAGGAGGGAAATGGGAGAGAACTGTTAATGGGTATAGAATGTCTTTTGGGTGTGATTCTGTTCTAAAATTGATTGTGGTGATGGTTGCATAATTCTGTGAATATATTAAAACCCATTTAATTGTACACATTAAATGGGTGAAATGTATGAATGTGAATTGTATCTCAATAAAACTGTTAAAAAGGAAAAAAGCCAATTGCGTTATCAATGCACAACTAAAAAAAAAAATAGAGACATAGCTTGGAAAATATAAGCAAAAAAATAATATGTATGAACACAAGGAATGGGAGGGAGGGAGGCAGACAGGCATAACTACAATTATAAAGGGGATTGTCACATCCTTTTTGTTTAAGCTGATACATTTGAAAACCCATATGGACTTTGTAGCAAAGTGAAAATGAGCATATTCATCTCATATAGAAGTAGAAAATTGAAATAATTAAGGAAGATTTGCGTAAATGTTTTAAAATGGCTACTACCTTCCAAAGCTGCAGATACGAGTAAGCTTTAGCAGACTTTAAGGACCAATTAATCCTCATTTTGCACAAATTATACCATTAGTTTAGAAAAAGATCAAATGAGGATATTGCCTGACCCCACGATTTTGAGAACAGCCTAGGCAACCTGGTGAGACCTCATCTCTACAAGGAAGAAAGGAAGGAAGGAAGGAAGGAAGGGGAAAGGAAGGGAAAGGAAAGGAAAGGAAATTAGCCGGACCTCATCTCTAAAATAAATAAATAAATAAATAAATAAATAAATAAATAAATAAATAAATAAATAAATAAAATTAGCCTGGGCATGGTAGTGCACGCCTGTGTTTCCAGCTATTTGGAAGACTGAAGCGGAAGGATCACCAGAGCCCAGCAGGTCAATGCTGGGGTGACAGTGAATGTGCATGCCACTGCACTCCAGCCTGGGTGGTGGAGTGAGACTCCACCTCAAAAACAACAACAACAACACAAAACAAACCTTCCACATTGTTCTAATTTCTTATAACATAAAATTGTACTAAGATAGGAAAGTGCACGCAATGTCCAGATCTTTGAAAAGCTAGTATAAATTTGTCACTTATCATAAGTTTGGTTTCTAATTCCAAGGACCACCCAGCACAGCACTGGGAAAGCGTACACTGCTTTAGAAACTTGACCAAAACAGCTCAGAGATTGCCCAGCCATGATATG